CTTGCTTCGGGCTCCTTGCCCCCGCCTGTTCCCTCCGCGCCGTGTCTGTCGTCTCCCTCCACCGATCCGTGGCTGGGCTAAAACGGCCTGTTTGGTTATTTTCAGCTTAAGGCTACAGAGAGGAAAAGTCTGCGGAAAGACTCCAGTGATTCGGAAGTAGAAAACGAAGCAAAAAGTAAATTCTTGTCAAAAAAGCCAGCCTGGGTGGATGAAGATGATGAAGCTGAGGAAAAGTAAGTTCCAGTTTGGAGGTAGGAATTACGTGTCACACTTAAGAGTGACTGTAAGTGGCTTCAGTTTGATCTTCCTGTTCTGTGTGTTTTTTTCCCTCTAGTGTTGATATGACCCATAGGTATAGGAGAGATTTCATGAAAAGTGATGCTGAGAAGACACTTACTAAGAAAAAGCTAAAAAGAAGACTCGAAGAACAGTGAGTTTCATTACTATTGTTGTGGCTAACTTTATGATGAGATAAGATGCGTTTATGTGACATTCAGATCTTTACCGCCCGGTATTCATGTGGCCTGTTTAAAACTATTACTTCTTACAGCATTTGCAGTATTTTAAAATCCAAAATAATACTAAGAAGAGTAAATAAAATGTGCATTAGCATTGTCTAGACTAATTTGTTTAATGCTTGTTTTAGTAGAGATGCACAAACTAATTTGTCTTCTAGAGAGTTGTACCAGAAACTTTTGATAGTGCTACATTGCTTTGTAAATGTAATGGTGGAAGATTCTTAGTATCGTACTATACTTAATGTGGTATATAAGAATGAGCTGAGATGTGAACATAGTCAGATAGCAAACCAGATCTTTAGACGTGTTTGGGTTTTCTTGGTATTAGCACGTATCACTCCAAAGAAGAGTGCTTTAATGTTTGGCACCAATTTTGCTTTAGTTTCACGTTCAGGAAGTCAGCAAAACACAGAAAGCTGAGTGAAATTTAAAAAAAAAAATTACATAGTGTTCTAAGTGCAAGTAATCTTGCAAAATTGTAACTATGTCTTCTAAAGTACTTAACGCATAGAAGGAAATTACTTTCTCAAAAAAGTTTGGTTGTTTGTTTTTCCTCCTCCCCTCTCCCTCTTCTCTTGCTAGGTTTCAGCGAGCTATGGGAGGAGTTCCTGCCTGGGCTGAGTTAGGAAACAGGAAGAAATCCAAAAGGACTGCAAGTGATAGTAAATAAATCCATTACTATTCTAATAAGGGTTTCTGTGTTTCCCTATTCAGCTTCTTAGAAAATAGTTATTTTTTGTTTTCTCAGTTTCAGTAGCGTGATAATACGCTGGATAAGTCAGCTTTATTCCTTCCTTCAGTGTGCTTTGATTTAATTTGTTTCTCTCAGGAATTTGTAGGTTTTCATGTGGGAGTGTTTGTGGAATTAACCCTTTCAATGTGCTTCGTTTTAATTAGGTGACAGTGATGAAGATGATGATCTGCTATGCAGGACTGGCAATTTCATATCAAACTCAGAGTCCCTGCCAAGAGGTATTTTGAAGGTAAAAGCAAGTGTTGTCTTTCCACCTCAGTGTGACCCATATGCCCACTTTGACTTATTTGTTCTATTTGGGCAGTAAAATTAGTGATCATATGAATTTCTTCTTCCTTTCTGTAACTGGAATTTCTAAAGAGTAAACAGTTGGACAAATTGGATAGTTCACATCATGCAAGCATGAAAAAATAAATTGAGAAGTATTGTTTCACATAAGAACTATTTTATGTACTCTAAAGTAGCATCTTGTAGTAGGATTTTCACTTCTGCATAGGAAGGGTGGGATTCTGCCACAACTTTGAGGCTACTGAAATGGTCTTTGAAAAGTGACAACCTTAAATGAGTGTTTCTTACACTCTGTCTTCTACAGCTAATTCACATCAGTCAGAATCCAACTAGCTTTATGTAGACTATTAATTTCAAAGGCAGTAGAAAGGCTAGTTAGTTTATCTTATATCTACACTGCTGTACTGAAGCAACTTACCAAACTTACTGTGCCTATGTTCTGCTTACGTCATGCTGTCTAAAAGTTCATCATAGAGTTTGAGATCTTGCTCTTGCAGAATAAAGAGCTATTAAACTGGCTGTTCATCAGCATAAGCAATAATACAGAAGTTGCTTTTTTTTTGAACTGCTTGCTCTGTGTTCTAGATGAGCACCTGCTTGCCTGCGAATCAGGAACGTTTTGCTAATGGAAAACTGGCAACTGTGCAGTTTCATCCATCTGCTCAAGTAGTCATGACTGCTGGACGTGATCGATCTGTGTCACTCTTTCAGGTGAAGAATTTCAATCTATACTATGTAAATGGCCACTAATGCAGAGTCTTTTTTTTTTTTTTTTTCAATAAGTATACCTAAGATAGCCTGGAACGATAGAATTTTCTCTCTTCCTGTGATGGTGGGCTCACAGGGGTTGTAATGTTTGTGGTTACAAGGGAACTTGCTTAGTTAAAGGTATCTTGTTGCAAGAAATTTTCATCTGTGACTTCATACCAATGACTTGCAGAGTATGGGCAAACTTAGTTGTATCAGGTTTTAGTTGAAGATTTTTTTTAAAAGTTTGGTTTTAAGGTTTGCAGTGATGAGGACTAAATATTTTTTTCTTAAGTTGTTTGTAAAGTCTGTAGTGTGAGGAGCAGTCCACTTTCATTTAAAACTGTAATAATGCTGAGAAAGCATTTTGGGGGTGGGGAGACTGTACTGCAGCAGGGAGCTACTCAACCTTGCCCTGCTCCTCTGAAAACTAAAGATCAAAACTCTATTTAGGAACTTTCAACATGGGCCAGTATCAGTGAGGTGGTCAAAGACACAAGATGAATTTGACACTCCCACAGGGCTGCAGGGAAGAACAATATGAAGCAAACCTTTCCGTTTAGAAAAGCGAAATAGAAGTGATTATTTGAACGAAGCATGGGCAGGACAGCAGAAGAATGAGAGGTGTGAAGTATATCCCGGAGGGCTGGGAGTGCTTGATATATGGGGTAAGAAGACAAAAGCCAGGCTATTTGCAGATTGGGAAGACGGGAAGAGATTAATGCATCAAACTGGTGTACCTCTTACTGCTTAGGTCTCTCATACTGGCTAGTTGAGGTGAAATTTCTATGTAAAAGTATTTGATACATTCCTTAATATGATGATCTGGTTTCTTTTTTGAAGGTTGATGGTATAAGGAATCCAAGGATACAGAGCATCTATTTAGAGAGTTTTCCAGTCTATAAGGCTTGTTTCAGTGTCGATGGAGAACAAGTTATAGCCACTGGTACTCACCACAAAATGTTCTTTGTGTATGACATGATGAGTGGAAGTATTATTCCTATGCAGAAAGTAAGAGGTATGTTTTACAGTACTTTAAGTGTCTGGGCATAGTTGAAGCTGTCCCAAATAGAGATGACATATGAATTTGCTTTAAAAGGAAATGCAGGGAATTATTGGATGAACTGTTTTTAACTTTTCAGGGATCTTTACTCAAGTACCTTTAGCTTTAGTTTGGGATGTTAAAAGTTAATTGTCACACATAAACAAGGTTGAGTTGTAGCTTTACTGTGACAGTGTATTACAGAAATGAAAAGCTGAAGTGGGAGTCAGGTCTTACCCATGTTCATCATCCTCTGATTGTTGAAGAAAAAGAAAAAAATTATGCCAATTTGAACTTCTGAATCTCTTTTTAAAGGTGTGGAGGAAAGATTTCTCAGAGACTTCGAAATCTCTCCAGATGGATCATTTATGCTTGTAACTGGAACTTCAGGTTACCTTTACTTGTTGTCAATGAAGGTAATTTCTCTTCATGTAGCTTCAGTTTCTTGGTACCTTTTTCCTTTTGAGTCTGCTTGCTTATATTTAATCTGAAAAGCAATCTAGCTTTCAATTGAAACAAAGGTATGACGCATACAGTGACAGCCTTTAAAAATGAGCTGCTGAATCAACTAATGGTAGCTTTAGAAAATTATTTTGGGGTGTCTGAGAATTATTTTCTGACTATGCAGTTCTCTTTGGGACTGGTGGAGGTAAGGCCAGAGTTTCATGGGTTCTTTAAGCTGTCACTGGAAAAAGTTTTATGTCGGTGTTGTATTTCAGTTGATTGCATGAATGCTGTGCTGGCAAAAGGAATGGCCTCAGCATGGAAACTGGCATCTGGGGGCGGAAGAAATATAGGACTGCTTTTTTGGGAATAGCGCTAGTGCATGCTGGTGTACCGTGTTCATGAATCATGCCATCTACGGTGATTCATGTTGCGTATAGAATTTTTTCAGTTAAATTTTAAAATGTCATATGGTGGCAGCTGGATTTGTTTTAAACTTTTATGAGGAAAAATACTTTTTAAAGAAAGTTCAGTTCCATTATATAATGAAGACCCTTCAGTGAGGGAGCAAATGTATGTTTATTGAACTAACTGTGGTTGTGCAATAATAAATTGATTGTGGACTCACGAGCATCAGCTTGTGCTCTGGTCTGCAGGTACTGAAAATGTTGATGCTCAAGATTTTTATGGGACAGGAGTATGGAAACAACTTTCCTACAGATTTTTGGCAGAATCATTGTCACCATTGTTGTTCTTCATCCTATAGACAAAGGAACTGATTAGCACTATGAAGGTAAATGGAAGATGTACTGCATCGGCTTTCACTCCAGACAGCAGTAAAATATATAGCTATTCAAGTAAGTATTCTCTCTAACAGCGCTGATCGTAATTCTATTTAAATTGCATAAGTTTTTATAAATCATTTATTGTTTTACAAAAATAATTAAAAGACTTTATGCCAGTATCTGGCCTAAAAATACAACCAAGTGACCATTCATTAAAGAATGGCGTTAACTATTTTAGTATGCCTTTAGTGTTGGGTTTTTTTTTTAAATACCCTGAATTTGATAGTTGTAAATGAGCTAATAGTTGTCATCTAATGAAATTTATTTTACCAAAATAGACAAGCAATGTGTTCTGTATATATGGCTTCTATAATCTTCTACTTTATTCTGCAACCAGAGGAAGGCGAAGTTTTCATTTGGGATGTGAGAAGCAGAAAGTGTCTACACAAATTTGAAGATGAAGGTTCTTTGGAAGGAAAGTGCATTGCTGTTTCAAAAAATAACCAGTATGTGGCATGTGGGTAAGTGACTTGGATTTCATAACTTTATCCTATCTCATTTTGAAAGCTCTTCAGTAAACTTACTGGTGGCTGGTGAGAGTATAGGAACATGGAATAAGTCTGGTTTTAATAAGGTTAGAGTAGATGTGAATAGATGAATGTTGCCTGTTTTATGATAATCATTTAATTTGTCCTATGTCTATGTAAAATACCATAACACACTTTATACCAGTATCACTCCTAGTGTATTACTGTTGCCATATATGGGTTTAGCAGTTAATTTTGAGATCATACTGACTGAAATCACAAATTCTATAGTACAAATGTCAATTCAGGGCCTTCCCTCTTTTCTAGTTCTCTTTCCTATACTCCTAATTTCGCTCATGTGATATATGTGTTAGCATTTGAAAAGATGCCTCAGCTCAAAGCCACAAACTTGAAAGTGTTTCTCCAAGTATACTTGCTGAGATGCAACTTCAGCTACTGTATTCAATTCTTTTAAATGAGACTAGCAAATACTTAAGTACATTTGTGTGCGTTTTCTTAGCCCACTGTAGAAGAGGATTTTTAAGTGGACTTACTCTACAGGGTATAAAAAAAAATAAAACCCCCTTGAAGCTATCTCAGAGTCTTTTGATACCAAGCTCTCATTGCTTTCAATTCATTCTGTGAAAGAGATGGGCTTATCAGGGCTCTCCACAGTTGTGTGTCTCTTCAAATAAATAAAAAAACCCCCACCAAACCCCTCTACTAAATATTGTTACAGACTCCAAAGCAAAATAAAGCTCCAAAGAAAATATTGTTACAAACTCCAGTAAATAATTGGAAATTTCATTTTTAGTTGAGTGGTGGCTATAGATAACAAGGTAATATGTACTGTAAATGCTACTTCTTGGTACAGTCTTTAATTTCTTTTTATAGGTCAGCTTCTGGAGTCGTAAATTTATATACTACTGATGTCTGTCTCAAGGAAAACCATCCTAAACCAGTTAAAGCCATAATGAACCTAGTTACATCTGCTACATGTGTGACCTTCAATCCCACCACAGAAATTTTGGCAGTGGCTTCCCGTGAAACTGATGAGGCTGTCAAATTGGTATGTTCAGCTTCTTTACTGCAAGCTCTTTTTGTATCTTGATCAAAAATGTTCCTGGTGACGTAATAAAACTGATATTGAGCAGATAGGTATACTGGAAAATTTGCTAGACCAAGATGATCAGGACATGTACAGGATACCGTACATTTATAAGGAAATGTTTTTTGTTTTTTTTTCTTCAGGGAAGTTGTTCTGAAAATAACATCTTATGGTCTAGTTTACCTTTTGGTTTTCCCTTTTTAAAATGCCCTTATTTCAGTGCTGTAAATATAACTTGGCAACAAATATGAATTTTTCAGCAGCTGTTAACTGTAATGGTCTTACTGTGTGGTGTTTTTCCTAGTTCATTCAAAATCTTGCCAGCCTTGTCAGAATTCTGGCCAACAGCAGAACTATTGAATTAATCTGAGGGCTTGGAAGCCTATTTTTCTTGCTTAGATGTAATTACTTAAAAATAAATGAATTCCAATAACTGGTTTCATAGTGTGTTCCCTGCACCTCGTTTCTCCAGTAGAAGCCCTATATACAAGTGGTGTAGGATCGGAATAGAACTGAACATTTGAACTTAACGTTGACCTTCAATTTTAAATTTTTATTTTAATTTGAGTTCTAGTGGCTTTTTCCTAATGATTATAACTAATGGCCTATTTCTCAACAGGTACACATTCCTTCATATACTGTGTTCTCAAACTTCCCAGTGTTCAGAAGAAAACAGATTTATCTTGCTCAATCTATGGACTTTTCTCCCAGAAGTGGTTTTTTCTCTGTAGCAAATAATAAAGGCAAAGCTTTATTATTTAGGTACGTATTAAGTTAGGTTTATTAATCCTAGATAATATGTTTATATTCTGTAAGATGGGACAGATGACTGGTAAATTACAAGGTTTGACTTTGTGATCTGAATTTCACCTGATGACTTAACTGAGTGCGGAGCTGGCTTTCCCTTCTGGAGAATGAGCGTTGTTTGTTGTCTCATTATAAAATAGGCATTGCTGCAGGCATCCCTGTCAAAACTGTCATTGTCCTTTTCTGAAATAAGTAGGATGTAAAAAGCCAGATGCTGGATGCTCTCCCCATTAAAAAAAAAAGTAGTTCAGAGGATTAAGAGAAGATCTGTGTTAACATCTGTATCTGGTGTGGGTTTGCTCTAGTTGTAAAGGCAGGGCGAGTAGCATCATTGGAGGGAGGGTGACTAAATACTGGCACAGGTTGCTCAGTGAGGTTGTGGTGACTCTGTCCTTGGAGACACCCAAAAGCCGTCTGGACGTGGTCCAGGGCAGCTGTCTCTGGGTGGCCCTGCTCTGGGCAGGGGGTTGGACCAGGTGACCCCAGAGGTCCCTACCAGCCCCAACTCTTCTGTGATCAGTGCTCCAGCTCGGTGAGGTTTCAAGGCTTGGCGCACATGCTGGCTAGTGCGTGGTGCAAGATGTCATGGTTTGTTGTGAGGGCATAGGAATAGATGTATTCTCTTGGCAGCTTACTGTTACATTCTAAAATCCTAGTTTTAATGTGGAAGTCGAACTCAGTGATTGATGTCTGACAGCATAAGCTTAACTTTAGCCTTTTTCTGAGAATGGAGAAGTAGTGGGAGAAGTAGTTTTTTCTGCTGGTGTGGTCAGGGGTAAGGAGCGATAATAACTCAGAGCAGGAATATTTCTTTAGACAAAGTAACTTTATGTGATACTTGAAAAAAATTTGTATTTTCAATGTGAGATTTTAATGATTTACAAAGTCTGATAGAGAGCATTTACAAAAAGACTCCCAGACAAGTCTGAAAACATGAATAAGTCTTGTGATTTGTCCTTTATTTGAATGTGAACTGCATATTATAATGACACTTCAAGTAAATCTAGCATGCGGATGATTTGCTATTTTTTGCTGCACCTATGTTTCAGATTAGCTAAGAGTACTCATAGTGGCACTACTGAATAGTTGTTGCTTTTTTGTGTTGTTCACTCAACAAGTTACTGAAAAGTTTTAAATCTGTGTCAACTTTTTTTCTTCAGGCTGAAACATTATTCAGATTTTTAAAAGAAGATACAGGAGAAAATGGACCAGTAATCAAGGTAAAAGTAGCACTAGAACTGTTGACAACATTGTCTTGAGGAACCTTATTTTCATTTTGCTACCTCCACCTCTTTATAGATGGCAACAAGTTCTTCGTACTGTGTAATAGGAAACTGTTCTGTCTGGATCACTCATGTAGTAGGTTCCATGTGATGGGCAAGAGTCAGGCTTGTCTTATCAGTCTTAGCTTTTCTAATAATACTTTTGCAGGGAGCTGGTAGTTCAACTAAACTTCTGCTCAGTGCTGTTGACAACAGTTTTAAAAATCTGAATATATTTAAATCAAACTCCTAGGCAGTGTGGTTAAAAACAGCTGTAGGCTGGCAGATACTTGGCTTGATCCTGTTATGAAGTCATGCAAGTGTGCCCACACAAGTCTGCGTAATTGCAAATTCAGATTACATAAGTTACTGAAATTTGAAGGGTAGCTTGTGTGCAGATACAATTTTATTGTACACTTTAACCTCTTCTTGGGAAACTGGGAAGGCCTGTAGCCTTGACAGTAATACAGTAGTTCTGTTTGACCCAAAATGTGTTAATGATTGGAAGGTCAACTCATTCAGACTGGAAGCAGGTATGTCTTCTGCATGTGAAGCTTGAATAAAAGTTTGTGATGGCTAAATGTTTGGAAGATACTAACAAAATTCTCTGTACTGATCTTTCCCCAGGTGTTGTAACCTGCAGATACAAGTACACTGACAAAATCAAACAAGTTTTTTATTTCGTATGGAAATTCAAAAATACTAATATAACATCTGTGGTTTTGAATGTTGTTTCTTAATAAAAAGTTTCCAGGCAAGTTGTTTCAACTTTTTCCAATGTTTTGTGTAAGCAAATGACTAAGTAGATTTTAAGCATTAGCATTCAAGATAATGTCTTCAAGAAATGCTTAAATGTCTTTAGTTATTATGAGCATATGAAGTGTTCCAATGCTGAAACAGAAGATACTAGTTTTGTGTAAACTGTAAGCTCTGCTCCATGTGTTTAGGTTGAGCTTTTCCATCAGCCAGGTTCATTTGAGGCTGCATTGGAAACAGCATTTTGCTGGCTGGAGGAGCAAAGTAACCTGAAACCCTGCTGATAGAGGTGTGGTAGTTCAGCCCCACTTAATAGGCCAGCTTAGGGATAGCCTAAACCAAAAAGTGAGAACCACCACCCTCAGTTGTGCTTACTGCCTCCTATGTGTCACAAAAACAACTGTATGTAATGTGGGTTCAATTCTTAAGAAAGAGTCTTTCTGCTGGTTTTTAAATCAATTGTGAAATTCTCATACCATTAGGGTCACTGAGCACGGACGGCTTTACAGTTGTTGTTGCTGGTTTTTCATCTGATTCCAAATACCGCACCTCTGATCGCTTTGTTCCTGAAGTGTCCACCTCTTTCTTTTTAAATACATGAACAAAAAGGTGACTAGGAATCTGCTACAATAAAAACACTGCTTTGGGAATAAATTGTGACCAATACATCTGTCCACTTCACGAAGGAGCTTTTTGGGCAGTAACATCACGGACCATGGGGTGACTAGGAATCTGCTACAATAAAAAACACTGCTTTGGGAATAAATTGTGACCAATACATCTGTCCACGAAGGAGCTTTTTGGGCAGTAACATCAAGGACCATGGTGCTCCAGTAGCCAGTAGTGACATCATTAAGCCTTCAGTGAAAGCGGCATTACAAAAAGGTACTCTGAGCACAGTAAAAGCTAATTCTAGAACACTGTAAAAAATTCTAAATACACGAGCCTATTGTTAAATTCTTGTTATACTGAATATGTGTTTTCTGAAGTAATGGGTTTTTAAAATGGCTTTGACAGTGATTCATTGTAAGATGAGGACTTGATTTCACAATTTGGAGGAAAAGCAGAATATGCTCTGGAGGTGTTAAATTGACTACAGTGTTTAACCTTAGTGCAGTGCTGAACCTAAAGTAAAGACCCTATTAATGGAAGAGTAAAATTAAATCATAAGCTCACTTTAAGATGCTTGCTTGCTCTTCTGTTACAAACAAATTGCATAAAATCTGGCTGGGACTGAGATTTTGATGAATTTCAGAAATGTAGATGCTGAAACAGGTTTATGACTTCACTAGAGGGCAGCACCTAATCACTGATTTGGAGACTTGACTGCTTCATGTTACTGAGCAGCCTGTCCTGTGGTAGCACTGCTGATAAGTGAGGTTTTGGTCGTGGTTATCGACACAATTCGCCTTTTTTTAATCATTTCTGTATTTCACCATTAGGGAGGTTTAAGTAGTGTGATTTTATGCACAAAACTATTAAATAATTTTAAATGAAATACTTCTAAAAAGGTAGATTTTAAAATATACTAAGTCTTTTACCAAATCTCTCTGAAGTAGCTGTGAAGTATTTTAATACCATTTAATCTGCTTGTCCTGAGACTGTGCCCTTCTTTGCACAGTATGTGCTTCTCCACTTTACTCATTAAAAAAAAAAATAATTTCCAAATCCAGTGATTCAAAGCCATATAGCAAGTCATTAGCACATCTAGACTTAGAACTTGAGAATTAATGGGTTCCTGGACTTGTTTAGTTAGCATAAACACAACAGTTCCTGATGTTCTTCCTTGCCCATCCTGCTGAATTCTGGTTGTGAGAGGTCCAGATTGGATGGAGCAGGAGAGCAAATGTGTTTTAAGATGTACTGAGGTGCTGTGTACTCTTGTATCACTGCAAGTGATTTCAGATAGTGTCAGGAAGGAGAGATTAAGCATTTAGTTTTGCAAATTCTATAATGTAAGTTGCAAATGCTCTATACTGAGTTACGGGGTGCACAGCAGTACAAGAATGTTTCAGCTTTGTACTAAATACCTTAATTCTTGCTGTTGCATTTTTTTGCCTCCTGGAAAACGTAAGTTACTGCCTCATCCAATGTGAAAAAGGGAAGGCTTTTGCCTTGAGAAATAAAGGAAACCTCAAGGTGCTTGTTGCATTTCTTCATGGGTTTTGAGTAATGATGCTTTCATGTACTAAACAGGCCTTTAAAGGTTGGATGATATGAAGTATTGCAAGAAGTTGAAACTTACATGTGTGTGTCCAGGGATCTTTATTTGCAATGGGATGAATTACCATGAAGTATACCTATCACCATACTCTCATTATGAAAAACAGCTCTTTGTCAGCTTGCCATGTGTTAAGAGTACTTAAAGTTCTGACCTATTTAAAATCTCTTTGTGTTTAATTCCTTTTTTCCTAGCAGGGCTTTTTTTCCCTGGCATTTCTAAGCTGAAGTTCTTTTAATGAATTATTTCTCTGCTTTTCCTCTTCTTCCACTCTCCTTGGCAAAATAAATTTTATTGATGTAGCCCATTAAATATTTATCACCGCAGCCTTTCCCCTTCAGGCTGTGCTCTCGTCCGATTTTGCAAGCTAAAGAGAACGAGTCTGGTTAGTGCTTAGAAAGGAAACCTCCAAGAAAAAAACAAACTGACTAGATGTTAGAGGAACACTGGTTATTTCGAAGGTCGAGTTTGCTACTAAGTCTCTTGAATCTGCTTGACCCTCCTGTTTGAGAGCTGTGTTTGTGGTGCAGGTGGTTTAGCAAATTAAAGGACTGAATGATGGTTTTTTTTCCTCCTGTGTCTCATTCAATATCCGGGATTGCTGCTCTCAAAATTATTTGGAAAGTTACGGTTCTGTAAATCTCTTCCATGTGGAACTGTTTCAACTACTACGTGATTTTTTTTTTTCCCAAACACTTGCTGATCAGACAGCAAATTAGATTCTCCGCTTTGGATCTAGTGCTGAACCCATCTAGTGGATGTGGCAGTCATAGCACACCTTGAAATGAAGCTGCTTTCTCGCCTAAGGATGTTTCTTGAAACATTTGAATGCCTCTGGTCATCCTTTAAATCCCTTTTTTGCTGTGATTTGTAAGATCTAGGGGGAGGATACAGAGCTCTTCTGGAGTGTGTCTGAAACAAGTCTGTAGAGGACACAGTCCTCAGTTACTGCTGTCCAGTACCTCCAGGTGCCTAGCTGGTATCCATACGATGCACCGCCACTTACTCTTGCCGCGAATCCTGCTGCATTTATGCTGCATTTCCTTTTGGATCACTAGCAGCAGCAATGTGCTGGGCAGTTAATGACACATTACTGTCACTGGTTGGATTTCTTCTGATGAAACTGTGGAACAAAGATTGGGTTTTTTTCTGGAACAAAACATTTTTTGGGTACTCAGACGTTTTTGTCCCATGTTTGTGTCACAGGGAGATGGCAGTACAGCCTAACCCAGTTTGGGACACTTCCATTGAGGCAGTCTGCACCTGTGTATTTTCTTCCAGTGATTAAAACTATGCAAGTTATAAGTCTTATTAAATTATTTTGAACCCCCTTAACCTGAACGAAACCTTGTAAGCTGATCAGACACTTTGAAATGGCTGCAATATGATTTGGTATTCCTAATAGATACTGCAAAATATGCCTGAGATCTCAGTCTTCATAGTGTTATATTTTGCACGTAAGATTGCCTGCCATCTGAGACTTCCATTTTGTGTGTGCAATATTGAATGTTTTATTATGTTTAAACAGATGGGAGGAAGAGTTGAAGCAGAGGGGAGTTTGGAAATGTGATGCGGGAGCCCTTACTCATCATCACTACCCATTGCTATTCTGCCTTGTCAGAAGATCAGGGATCTGTATTTATTGTGGGTTTAGCATGTATTTTCAGTCAGTTTCTACTGAATAGAGAGTGACTTAAGAAATTAAGCCTAGCACAATGTTGTTAACAGATTTACATGGCTAAGAACTGGGGGGAGTTGAACTTCAATTTAGGATCTTTGAAGATGCATCCATTTTATGAAGACTGAGTAACTTCTGTCTGCAAATCTTGATGCAGTGTAGTGTTTAGCTAAGGATCCGTATCACATGCTTAAACATAAGGGTTCTTTAATCTTTGTTTCAAGCTTTCGATGCAGATTTCTAAGTTCCTGGAAGAGAAAAGGTGTTTTGTGTACTTACAATTCAAAGATAATTGTT